GGGTTGGAGTTCTGCCGGCGGGGAGGAGAGGGGCGGCGGGTTGGCGGAGGCCGGAGCAGGGGCGTCGGGGAGCCGCGCGCCCGCCCCGGCTCGGCCCCGTCACTCGCCTGTTGTACCAGTTGAAGAGCAGCCAGTTGACGCCCTCCAGCTGATACTCGCGGAGCTGATTGTGGTTCTTGTACTCGTGGGACAACTCGAGCTTCTTCCAGGAGCCCGCTTGGGGCCGGGCCTGCGGGAGAGACGGGTACGGAGCGAGCGTCGGGTTTTGCCGGAGGGAAAGGGCGGGGGGGAAAGGGCGCGCGCGGGCCGCGACGGCTCACCACCCGCTTGAGCTCCGGGTGCCGCGCCTGGATCCGCTTGAACTCCCCGATCTTGCCCTCGTCCACGTCCTCCTTGAGCTCCCAGGTGCTGTCCTCGTAGGGCAAGGAGCACCACTTCACCAGGTAGTAGACCACCGGCTGGCCGGGGCGGGCAGGAAGAGCAGGGAGACGGGGTTACTCGGCGCCTACAGCTCCCAAAAAACCCACCTCGCCGCCCGCGGACGGGGCTAGGCCCAGCGCGCTCACCTCCCCGTTGTCCTTGTCGACGCTGTGGGATTCGTCCAGGATGCGGTCCACCTCCACGTAGTCCGGGTTGAACGGCTCCTCGTCCTGGGCAGAGGTCGGGTGAGGAGGGGGGCCGGTGCGCCTCCCCGCCCCGGTTTTCCGGCTCTTCCCCCCCACTCCCATCGCCACCTCCCGCACCTCGTGGAAGAAGTGCCGCATCTGCGTCATCTTCGTCTTGAAGCGCTTCAGCTTCTGGTGGATCCTCTTGTCCTTCTGCCCCCTCGCGGTGCAGGTAGGAGCTGATAAGGGAAGGCGGCAGCGTTAACCACACCCGGCAGGCGGACGCCCCGGACCGAGAGCGGCCCCGTCCGCGAGTCTGCTTCCCCGCCAACTCTCCGGGGAAAGGGTTCGGACCGGAGGAGGACGTTCCCAAGCGCTGCCTGCAGGAGGGGACCTCTCAGCGAGCGGCCAGGCGGCGCCAGCGCCACCTTCTCTTTGACCCGCCGCCTCGTTACGGCGAGGCGTTAACGAAC